AAAAAAAAAAACCTTAAAAAAAAAAAAAAAAAAAAAAAAAAAAAGTCACTTGGGTAGCAGTGGACTTACAGTTGAAATGGTCCTTTCCTTGCAGCAGTGTAATCACCTGAATGCCAGATTCAAGCTAAAATAGTATTATGCTAAAATTGTTCAGTTGAAACTAAGTTACAGAAATGGCTTATGCCAGAAATGTGTATTGTGACTTCCTACAAGAAGTGTTACAATGACATACTTTAATACAGTGTTTTGTCACTGCTGCATTTGTGAATTTATTTTAAACAATTTAAAGTTTAGCTACAGTGAGCTATGTAGATCATGTGATAGATTGGGAGTGGCCAGCTTCCGACTTACGGGGAGAAGGTGGCAGAGTGGGGAGAGGCCAGAGTGGCACTTGGAGAAGGGCAGGGCTTAACTTGTGGCACCCCTGCTAAGAAGGTTGTCCACTAGTTATGGACACTCATGTGCTTCTCATGGGAGTCTTGTACCTTTAGTCTGACTCATGCCAGAATTCTTGGCACTTTTTTGCCCTTGAGTGTATATATAGAGGTGCCTCAGAAGAGCCAGATATTTCATGTAGTTAGATTACTAACCTCCCAGTGAAGGTAAGAGGTTGCAAACTAACCAGGCATATCGTAGAACAGGGATGGGCAGCCTGCAGGCTGGCAGTGGACTCCATTTCCCAGCAGCCCCTGCCTACATGGCTGGGGCTGGTCTCCATGGAGACCCCTGCCCTTGTGATAGTGCAAGGCTGGGGTTGCCATGGAGACTGCCCCCAGCCATGATGGCAGGATGCAGAGCAGGGCGGGGGGGCAGCTTGGTCTGGGGCCAGGGGAGAGCTAATATCTGCAGTCTGCACGCTCTGGGGAGGGGTGCGCAGGCAGCGGATCATGGCTCTGCCCCAGCTCCTGGTCCAAAAACAGCTGATTGTCGATAATGTCATTTTTCCTTTTATTGGTACTGATCCAGCACACTTCTAGAAGACAGTCCAGCTCCCCTTCAGGTAGTTGAAGGCTGCTATTAAGTGCCCCCTCAGTCTTCTCTTCTGTAGACTAAATAAGTCCAGTTCCCTCAGCCTCTCCTCAGAAGTCATGCACCTCAGCCCTCGAACCATTTTCCTTGCTGAACGTAAGCAGAATTGTAGCAGACGGCTGTGTGAGACCATGAAGGGACACCAGCTGTTTGTGAAAGCTTTTCTACCTTAAAACGTGCCACTTCTCTGGTCAGCTGCATGAGACCCCAGCTGTGCTCCAGCTGATCCACAGAGCAGCACCCTTTGAAGTAAAGACCTCAGCAAGCAGCTGTGAGTGGCTTATTCTTAATTTGGCAACCTGCTGCAAAACTATGTGGGTTGTGAACCACCCAGATAAGAAAAAGCTGAGTTTGACTGAGCTGCCACTTCATTCCTGTCTCTGAGCATGCTTCCCTGTAGTTTTCAGGTTCTGCTTAACTGTTCAGAGGAGTTTTTTCGGTTAATCCCATTTTGAAAGGTTTCCATTAGAAAGTTTCCAGTCTTCCAAGATTTCCAGAGTTGAATCATTCTCAGAGGAAACTAAAACTGACCAGCTTACACATCCGTAGGAGGACTGGAAAACTTGATAAATGAGTGTACAGCATCAGAGGAAAGAAGGGGTGTAAGGACCTCAGGCGATCTAGGATCCTCAGAGGGCAAATGTCCATCTAAACTGGTTTTGAAATCTTCCAAGGCTGGAGATTTCTGCATCTTCTCCAGGAAGCTGATTCCAGTGCTCATCACCCTCACAGTGAGAGCTTTCTTCCTAATAGTGAACGGAGGCTTTTCCCTGCTGTAATTTAAGACTGTTGTTCCTTGTCCTTTCCCTGTGGCCACAGGGGAAAGTTTGTCTATTCGTGCTTGACTCTTGGTTCTTGTTTGACACACGGCCCAAAAAGTGGTCCTAAAATTATCCAGAGAAGCTGACTTGAAAAATGAGTAACTGTTTCATATGTAAATGACAGCTTCATGTTTGTTAGGAGCAGCTTAAAAAAAACAGGGGAAGACATTTCTTCTCATAACTTGTAAGCTGTAGAGATTGTTTCCTAGTTGAACATCTTTTAACTATTTGTTTTGAATGTCGTAATTGCAGTGTGAATGTGATGTTTCAGGGTGCTTTAATGTTTGTGCTCAGGGTCATGCCTTATTAATCAGCAGTCTTTTGCGATCATTTACTCTTTTTAGGAGCAAACATTGCTTTCTTCTGTCATATGTCATTCCCCGGCCCCTCATGCTCTCCAGGTCTGTTACCTCAGTCTGCTTTTGTCATGTATCTAAAATTAACTTTCAACATGCAACCTATAAGTATTATTAGATGATTTATTTCTTATTGTACTTTAGTTAGTAATACTCAGATTTTTAAAGTCAGAAAGTACTATTATATTACTGCCAGATATTGATACTATTAAATAATATCCGAAAACTAGCAATATGGATCAAAATGTAAGTAGTTTTTTTAATTACATCTGTAACACTAGATAGAAGAATGTAGTGCAGTAATTCTGTGAATTTTCTGGTGACAGTGAATATAATCATAAATATGAAATTCTAATGAAGTAAAAATAAGGCACAGAAATAAGCTATCAAAATAATAAGAAATAATTTGAATGAAGGTTGATGTCTGTGTGTCTAGCAAATCCATAATTATGAATATGTGATGAGAGGCATTTGAAGTGCTTTGCTGTTAGCTTGGTATAAAGAACCATTAAAATGGAAATACTGATATGCTTTCCTTATTTTTTTTAATAGCTTTAGAATTTTAGTTGGACTTTTGCAAGGCTTTTATTTCCAAAGCTGTCGAAAATGATTGATAAAGGGAAACTAATAGGTTTCTGTCATATATCCATCCTTTGACAAATGCATCTAGTTTGAAATGTACAGGGATGTTTCTGAAAGTAACAGAAGTTTTGAAATAATACAGTTTTGTGTGCCATGCTCATTTACCACTACGTAGAGAAGTGATACGGACCAGTAAGCAATGAGCGCATTTCACGATGCTGCCTTCAGTGTTTGCCACTGCTGTGTAGTTTCCTTCTTGGTTGCATACATATAGCTTGGGCAGCCATTTTGCCATTAGGTTGTCATTATACATCCACATTATCCTTGGGTTTTTACTTGTAACTTAGTAAGTAAACTCTTTTTTAAAAAAACATTTAACACAGGAGTCAATCTCTCCCTAGTCCCATGGTCAGATCCAGATCACAGGGGCTCCTGGGCTGGGACCATGGAACCTGCAGCAGCTGCAGTGGGTCCACACTTGGGTAGCAGCACATATTTGGGGGTGTGCACCAGTGCAGGGCTGCATTTGGGCAGTGGCAGAGATCTGGGGATGTGTGGCATTGCAGGGCTGCATTTGGGTGACACTGCAGATTTGTGGGGTGTGCTGCTGCTCCCAGGCCATATCCATCAGGGGCCTGTATTCTGTGGCAGGCCGTACTCTTCGCTTCTGGCAGGCCAGATGGAACAGTTCTGCCGGCCATATGTTTGACTACTTTGATATAAAACTTTTGCATTAATACTTCAGTAACATCTTATACAAAGGAAGACCAACTCTTTCACCTGCACTGCCTTTCTCCTTCAGTTAAGGTGCTGGAACTCACAGCGGGCATTCCAGAGAAGATCCAGCAAAATGAAGGGGACACCAAATATGACCCTGAACTGATTTATAAAGGTTCAAAAGAACAGGAATGAAAGGAGGAACATCTTCCTCCCCATTAGGACAAGAAACACAATTTAAAACAACTTTGCAAGGCATCTTTTGAATGCAACTGAAATACCTGACCATTTACTCTTTTGAGAAACAAACATTGATTTCTTATCTGCCGTACAATTTTATCCCCCCTTACCCTACTTCCCCAGGTCTGTTATCCACATTTTGCCTTTGTCAAATAACTAAAATTTACTTTAAACATATAATAATTTAAACAGTATTAGATAATTATTTCTTATTCAGTGTTAAACAATCAAGGTACAAGATTTGAAGGGGAAATATACTGAGTGGTTTTTTTTTTCTTTCTTTTTTTCTCCAGACTTCTGTGAAGAGAGATGCAACTCAAATTACGGTTAAAGAAGACAAAGTCCATCTATTGAAATACAATATAGGAGATCTAGTCTGGTCAAAAGTGTCTGGTTTTCCATGGTGGCCATGTATGGTTTCAGCTGATCCTGTTCTTCATTCCTACACTAAATTAAAAGGTATGTTTCCATTGCTGCAGACATCTTCCCTCCTTTCAAGTGTGTGGAGGTGTTAATTTCTGGGAGATTCAGAACTTTATTAAGTACATTCTGAAATCTTGATATGTTAAATGAAATCTGTACCAGTCTCTTGTCTAGAAGGTGATTAAAATAGTTTTCACTTTGTGGTGGCCTCATATAGAGTGTTACAGTAATTAACTGCCAATGGCTACTTTGTCCCTTTTTTAAAAATGAGATTTTTTTTTTTGCGACCTTTATATTTCAGGGCTTTTTTTTCAGGCGTATTGTAGGTGAGTGGATTCAATGTAAACTTTCCCAAAAGCTTATTAGTAGCATTTTTAGAAATGATAAATGACTTAGTTTCACTGATGGTTAGTGGCATTTAGATTTTTTTTAAGTGCCTCACTGATGTTTGACAGTTTTCCTTGTTTATTTAAGTCTAATTTAATTTAACGAGCTGTGACTTGGTAGCAATGCATCAGCTGTCTTGCTGGCACCCAAAGAAGTTTTGTGGCTTCTGGAAGGCGGAAAATTCTGGACCCCCTTTTTTTTTTTTTACTTTTGGCTGAGCAGCCAAAAAGTGCTGTCAGATTGAGAGCAACAATGTAAGTACCCTGGACTGTACTTCTCCTGCTTGCTGGCAGGGAGAAAAAAGCTAGCAGCCATTTTGCAGCATGGTGTTTTCAGACTTCTAGCCTGTCAAAGAAAGTCGGCTTCCCTCCTTACGGCATGCATCCCAGTTTTGGAGGGCTGTTTTGGCAGGAAAAGTATGTGCGGTATGCAAGCAGATATGGATAGTTCCTTTTCATTGTGGCAGGAACATTAGCTAAGCCTTGCCTGGGTTTTGTCTGGCTGAACAGTCTTCCTTCTCTTAAGAGTGGGGCAAAGGAAATAATCTCTGTCTGCTAGATAGACCAATAAGTTACTCTATAGTAGAGGTGCACTGATATGTCGGTCTGTACTGTATCGGCACTGATAAAAGGAAAATTGACATTATTGGCAATCGGCTTTTTTTGGCCGGTGTAGCTGATAATGTCACTGATAAATGGCGTGTGAATGCATGCAGCTGCAGCAGGCACATGGCCAGGAATGTAGCCAGGCAGTTTGGAGAGCAGCGTCCTGCTGGTAAGTCTGTGGCGGGGGAAGAGGCAGGGGAGAGCGAAGAAGCTTGTGGCGGGGCCAGATTGAGGCCCCCAGTGAGGGAAGGAGGTGGGGCAGAGGCAGGCACTGCCCAGTTGGGCTGGAGCTGCAGGGCTTATCCAGTTGGGCTGGAGCTGCAGGGCATATGGAGGGATGGGGAGAAGGGGGCAGCTCCCGGCTGCTGCGTGCAACCCTGGGGAGGCATGGGGGGCGTGTGACCCCTGCATGGGCTGTGCCAGCTTCTTTTCAGTAAGGGGCTGGCCTGGGGCTGCACTCAGAATGGGCAGGGTGGGCTGCAGCGCCGGGAGAGGAGTTATGGTGAATTTTGGGGGGGCTGTAGCCCACCCTGAATTCTACCCCCACGCTGCTGCTGCCTGCCATGCCCCCGCTGGCCCCAAGCACAGCTCCAGCCCAGCCCCTTACTGGGAAGAGGCTGACACAGCCACTGAGCCTGCAGCAGGCAGCCCACCCTCATCCCGAACACAGATCTGGGGGAATACATGCCCTCCATGCCTCCCCCAGGGTGCGTGCAGTGGTGAGGAGCTGCCCTGCTCCCTCCCTGTCCCCTGATTTCCCCTGGACAAGCCACTTGCAGTTCTGTCCTGCACCCCTCCCTGGCCAAAAAAATCTTTATTGGTGCACCCCTACTCCTAGTTAAGATTGTATACTATTTTTCGTTGTGGCCCCACGTTTGGCTCTTCTCTTAAATCCACTGATTTGCTAGCCTCAGAACTCATGTGGAAGTAAAAATTTTCTCTGGAACTTGAAGTGAATCTGAAGTGGTGGGGAGGGTCCAAAAAGGTGAAAACAGGAGGATTCAAGGAGCGTGAAAAAATTGTTATCCTTTTTATCCCTCTTTAGCAGGTTGTTTTTCTTCCTTATTTCTAGTTCATGGGAAATTCCCAAGCTCAGGTCTTGGTCCAGTACCAAATTTTAGCTGATTCAGCTAAATTTGAAAAACTTGATGTTTCTGTGGGGCATCTCTGCTATCAAGTTTATACGATATGAAATTGTTCCTAGAGGAAATAATTTTATACAGAGAGAAAATCTGGTCCTTTGTTGTACCGAGAGAGATCTTGAGAATGTAAGCTAAGGATTAGGAAAGCATGCCAGTGAAAAAGTTTGTTCTTTTTGTGTAGTCAAGGAATGGTTTTCAGTTGTTTGAGACTCAAAGGCCCCCTCAAAACTTGTTGAAATGAGGTGCCATTCAGTTCACAAAATGAATTTACTTGTTACAGTGCTTACCTCCTGATTAGGCTGATGGGGTTGGCAGGGAGAGAACCCAGTTGAGAATCTTTTGCATTAAAGGTACAGAGTCTCTTGACTGGCACGATCTGCCAGGGCTGTACATGTATCCTGTTTCTTCTCATGGATTCGAGTGCACTAGGGATCACATCTCTCCCTTAGTTTAGTCTTTGAGCCTGTGAGAGTGGGACAGAACCCAGCAGTTTCCTGACTCACTACTATGTTTAGCAATATAAACTCAGTTTTAAGGGCTTGCCTTGACGAAGCTTGTCCTTTTTGTCTTGTTTTTCACTGATGAGATGGTGCGCTGTAAGTCGTATTCCCCACTGACATCTCTTCATTGTTAGGCCAAGGGCTCTGCCCAGATTACAATATCTTGTATCATTCCTAAGTTATTTGCATCCAGTCCATGGTAGTCTGATAAAAGACTAATTCCACAAAGGGCAAATGAAAGAGATGTCTTCTGTGTTGGGGTGCTCACATCCTAGTCATGTGCTCTGTCCACCATATAGCAGGGGTCAACAGCCTGTGGCCTTTGGACCAGATCTGGCCTGCAAAGGTCTGATGCAGTCCACATTTTACCAAGGGCATGCCAGTCCCTGTGTGTTCCAGTCTGTTTTGCTAATGGTTGCTGATTTTGATTCCTCAGCCCTAATCTATCTTAAAGGGCTGGTTTTCCCTCAACTGCAGCCTCTGTTCACTGAAACTGAAAGGACCAGAGGGAAAAGGTGGCCTGCTGATAACAAATTATGGCCTGCGTTAGTAAAAGCTTGTTGACCTCTGCTACATGGTATTGCTGCTCTCCATCTATGCTGATGTACTGTTTTCTGGGCATAAGTAGAGTTTTCTTTACTTATCTCTGTCCAGCCTAAACTAAGCTACTTTTACACCAGTGGCACTATGGGTCTCTTTACCAGGAATGGAAACTTGGTAAAAGTGCCTTTCATGACATTTTGCTCAAGTTATTTATATTAGTCTTGCTGGAGACTGTTCATAGAATCATAGAAGTAGGGTCAGAAGGGACCTTGT